TAGGTTTCAGTGAAGCTTAGGACAGGCTAGCATGATTAACGTCAAGCACCAATGAAAAGTTAAAGAAACTCCAGCCTGATCGCCCACGTGGCTGGTCGGAGCTCAAGTACTTCAACCAGCATCTTCTGCTACTCAGGTGCATTAGTTGGGAGTTGGATTGGTTGAAATGGCATACCAGTAGGGATGGGGTGGAGGGGATGCAAGTTTTCCAAGGGACTGCTCAACTGACTTGGGCACCACTCAGGCCCACAGACCTCCTTAGTTCTATTTTAAACTCTCGTTTTAACCCAGTCCATTCTTTCTTTTTTTAAGATTTATTTATTTTTATTACAAAGTTAGATATACAGAGAGGAGGAAAGACAGAGAGAAGATCTTCTGTCCGATGGTTCACTCCCCAAGTGACCACAATGGCTAGAATTGAGTCAATCCAAAGCCAGGAGCCAGGAACTTATTTCCGGGTCTCCCACACGGGTGCAGAGTCCAAAGCTTTGGGCCAGCCTCCACTGTTTTCCCAGGCCACAGGCAGGGAACTGGATGGGAAGTGGAGCTGCTGGGATTACAGCCGGCACCCATATGGGACCCCAGTGCATTCAAGGCAAGGACTTTAACTGCTATACTATTGCTCCGGACCCAAACCAGTCCATTCTTGTTTCACCTTCTCCCTGCTCCCCATGCAGCTTTTATCTCTCCCAAGTGCACCATTGCCTTCTCAGATGGTTCCAACTCCCCAATTGCTCTTCACCCAACTCCTCATCAAAACCCCCATTGCCTCTGAAGTGTTCTGTTGGAGGTGAAAATAAACCAGTTAAAGTACTGTAAAAAAAAAAACACTGCGGATTTCTAGGTGTTATCTAACAAAAACCAATACCTTTTTTTTTCTTTTATCAGAGATATCTTCTTCCTATCCTTTAAATGATCAGAGTTAGATTGTTCCAAGTTTCTTTTTAAAGATGGTGTCATTTATAGAACTCAACCCTTCTTCAGAGATGTTAAGAAGGTTAAAAACGGGGTATGCTGTATATTCTACTGAAATCTGATATGAGTGGGTTCACTGTGGGGAGGGTGCAGTGTGGGAATGGAGTGAGTGCTGAGCTTTAGGTGAGATCAGGTTTGACTCTGAGCTTCTGCCTTTTGTTGACTTTATAACCTTGGGCAAAACCTTCAGCCTCTGTAAGATAGGGATCTAAGTGTCTTCAACTGAAAAGTAAAGATAGTAATAGCTACAGAGTTGTTGGGTAAGATATCAGGCATCAAAGCCATGACAAGTGCTCACTGGATGTTAGCTGAATTTGAATTTACCACCTTTTATTTTGCTTGTTTATTCTTATTTATGAGAGAGAGAAAGGGAGAGAGAGTGCTAGTTCACTGCCCAAATTTCCATAATAGTCAGGGAATGGCAGAAACTGGCTGACAGGAATCCAATTACTCGAACCATCACTGCTGCCCCTCAGGTTCTGGATTAGCAAGTAGCTGGAATCAGGAGCCAAAGACAGGCATTGAGTTCATGTGTTCTGAAGTGAGACTGAGATGTTTTAACCATTAGGACAAATGTCTATTCCATATCCATTTTTTAAAAAAGATTTATTTATTTGAATGGTAAAGCAAAAGAGAAAGAGAAATCTTCCATCTTCTTGTCTATCCCAGAACTCCAACTAAATTTTTCACTGAGTGGCAGGGACCCCAAGCGCTTGGATCATCATTGACTGTCTTCCCAGGCACATTATTAGAGGATACTGGATTAGAAGCATAGTAAGTAGGACTTGAACTGGCACTGACATGGGATGCTGGTATAGAAAGTAGCAGTCTAACTAGCTGAACCATATAGTTGGCCCCCTACCTACCTCCCTTTAGGCTTAAATGTATTGATAGATTTACTCTTACGTGTATTGATAGATCACTCGAAAGAATTCTAGCCTCATCCTTGTATGCCTAACCTGCTTTGCAATATGGTGGACTTGATAATAGTTTGTTTCTTCCTTCCATCGGTCCTTCACTAAATTATTATATTTTGAGGCTCTACTTTTTGTCAGACACTGAGGACAAAAACATGGATATGATGTAGTGGTTTCCATGAATTACAAGTCAATAAAAAAAGAAGGATATAGAAAATTAGTGGGCCTGGCGCGGTGGCACAGTGGTTAAGATCCTCGCCATGCACGCCCGGGATCCCATATGGGCGCTGGTTCTATCCCGGCAGCCCCGCTTCCCTTCCAGCTCCCTGCCTGTGGCCTGGGAAAGCAGTCGAGGACGGCCCAAAGCTTTGGGAACCTGCACCCGCGTGGGAGACCCGGAAGAGGCTCCTGGCTTCGGATTGGCATAGTATCGGCCGTTGTGCTCACTTGGGGAGTGAATCATCGGACGGAAGATCTTCCTCTCTGTCACTCCTCTCTGTATATCCATCTTTCCAATAAAAAAAATTAATAAAAATAAATCTTAAAAAAAAAAAGAAAATTAGTGAGAAGCATTAAAGTACTTAAAAACTTGTGAATATTTCCATTAAGTAAGCCATTTCTAAGAAAGTATAGGCCAAAAAAAAAAATCTGTGATTTAAAAAATGTTGTGAATACACCATTTATTTGAAACAAATTCTGTCATAGAGCAAATTGCCTTGCTCAACTTTCCTTTCTTATTGGAGTTAATTTTGACTTTGGCTTCAGGACACATTTTGTTTTTCTTCATCTCACACTCCACATCTGTTACCTTCTCTGGCAAGCAAGTATAGAAAGCAAATCATCAGACACAAAACAATAGCCTGCATAACCAGAATCTGAAACAACATAGGTAGGTAAAATTTTATTTTTGCCTGTTTGTATAATGCTTTTACATATGGAAAACTGTCTATACAGCTGGTTTTCCTGGTAAGTTACTATGGAACAGCAGGGAAGATACAGGTTGAGGAAGCAGGATAAATGCGACTTTTGGCTTTACTAGTTTCGTGGGTAGTTATTTACCCCATTTGTAAAAATGAGCAATAATGATGTTCCTGTGCTTATAGTAATGAACATAGATGCCTCTTTATAGCAGGCAATTAAAAATATGCTACTGTTATTCGAACCTTACAACACCAAAGAAAATTGTCTATCAACTATTAAATAATTGTAAAGTAATACTCAAGTGCTCTTATATGTATTATGTGTATATTAGAGATAGTTTTGACCTGATAATATTTAGCAGGAAAGTAGTTGCTCAAACTGTTTTAATTTGGGACACCTAGTGGGACAAAGTCATTCTAAGCTATAAATGTGTGGAGTACTAAACTCTGAAACCCAGAATGGGTCAAGCTGGAGCCTCATGGAGCACAGACTGCCAAAAAGTAGTCCATTATAAGAAAATGGAATTTCTAGTCCTCTGGGATTATCTACTGACCTAAACAAAGTTTGTATTTGATTAGACATATTTGGTAATTATATTTTTGTTGCCCAGTGCTGAAACCCTTTCTATTTTGGAAAATATGCAGATGTAGGGCTTACTTCCCATCACTAAAGTGCAAGATCATCAACTTGGTTTCCAAATTCCAAGCAGTAATGGCCTGCCATGTTTTCCAACCCACTGAGGACTCTAGACTGGACTTGTAAGGTCAAGAAATAATTCAGTCTGGTACAAGTGCCAGTGGAAAAGCATCCAGTGTCAGTGGTAAATTTGTCTAAGGGGATAGCAGTGTCATTTCTCTGTCTTGTGTAGGCAGGAGCATGTTGTCAGTAATTATAGTCCAGAAAATCTAAACAGATGTGTGTGCCTGCTGGTCTCATCTCTTGGCCTATCTTGGTTCCGGCTTGTTTACTAAGTCTGGTGCTTGTAGTTTCTCATAAGTTCTTGAAACTATTGCTGGTCTGTCAACCAATTTTTATCTGCTTAAAAGAAACCAAGTCCATTTTAGTCATTTGCAACCAAAAATCTTGGCTATTCCAAGGCAAATGGAAGAATCACAGTGTATGAGAAAAATCTGAGATCCCAAGCTATCAGGCACTTGACAAAAGGACAAAGGCAAGAATATGTTGACGGTCAACAGGAAGATGTGTGGGTAATGTCCCTGTGTTTGGGAGCCTGCTTTCATGAGCCCCTTGTTTTGATTTGCTACTCAAAGCAAGATTATCACATCTTCTATCACCTTCTCCCCAAACCGTGTTTCTTGATGCTTTGTCACCAGAAGCTTGAAAGGCAGATGAGGTGCAATGCATGGGCAATCATGCAGGATAACAGCTGAGGGTAAGACATTTGCCCTTAAAGTTAGGCATAATGTCCTATCATCATCATGCACATCAGGACATCTGAAGAGTACTATTTGTACCCTGGACAGAATATATTTAGAGTCTTAGTGGCCTTGAAGTAGAAAATAAAACTCAACAGGATTTTAACTTGTTTCTAATTTCCATGTCTCCTTGGCAGCTGAAATATTATACATAGTAAATATCTAAGGATAAACCAAACAGTCACATGGGATAATAATGTTTCACAATCTGTTTTGGAATTATGTGCAAAATTTGCCACGTCCCGCATGTTCAATATCACATAGTTAAATTGATAATTAACCCAGTTGATCATGATGACCTATAATTCAACTATTAGTCACTGTTCTTTTGCATTAAAATTTTAAATGTCCCAACTGATGGATAAAATCTTTAGATAAAAGATTAACCACGGCTAGCTAAAGGGGTGAGTAAGGAGATTACCATATCCTCTGTTTAAAAGTAAACCAACTTTTATGGATATTTACTTGCAGTTTCTAGTGGAAGATTAAAATCTAAAGGGCATTTGTTTTCTGAACTGTTGAGCCCTGAACTTTGTAGGCCTTTGGCATGCATCAGCCAAGCTGAAAGCTCATCCTTTGTGCTGCAGAGTAGTGACTGAGCAGGGAAGAGTTGGCTCCCCTTCATCTTTCAGTCCTCTTTATTTCTCTTCTCCTCACATTGCTTAACACCTAGTTCCTTTTACCTTCCTTATCCTCCCTTCTTTCATACTGTTTTAGCGTTATCTCTTTTCTTTCTTCCAGGTTCCCTTCTTCCTCTGCTGTCTGAAGCAGTGCTGTGTTGCGGTTACCAAAGGCATGGGTTCTGAAAGCAAATGAAGGATTCCAGTTCTGATTCAGTCTGCATTCATTTACCGTGTGCATTGACTAACTGTGGCCTCGGGTAAGCTACTGGATCCCACTGTCATTACCTTGCATTCATCCAGTTTCAGTCAGGGAAATGAAACTGTCACAGTGGAATACACTGGGGAAGCAAAGGCCCAAACTGGAGTTGGAAGAGCAGAGGAGCCATTCCTCAGTATACTAAAGAGAGGAGGTGTGTGCAATGATCAAAATGGGACTGTGACGAGGGAGCTGTTTCCTCAGAGGGTTCGTAGTCAAGCATCAAGTGACAACATCTGGTTTCATCACCCAGGCCAGAAGTGCCAAAAGGTAGCAGGGTGTGGAATCAAGAAAAGCAGACAGCTGGAGCCTCTTGGTACTTTTGTGTCTGCCCATGAAATTATTGAATCATAATGGTCTTCAGAGAGGAATGACAGCTGTTTCACTTCTAACACCAGGTCACATGCAGATTCCACGTTTGGCCAGTCCAAACCAAGAACCAGGAAAGAGAATTATGGGAAACTTAGGTCTAGCTTAACTAGGTTGAGAGAACCAGTCACCACATGAGTCACACTCAAAATACAGTCATTAGGAGTTCATAACTCAGGAGGATGTTGTGAAGAATAGATGACTTTGATATATGCCAAGAAAGCACTTATCAGCATGTCTGACACATGGTAAGCACCCTACGTATGCTAATTCTGTTTTGTTTTTAGTTCATTTCTCTGTGTGTATATGCTTCCAACTAAACACCCTTATCAAATTTCTCAATGTTATTGTGTCATTTCTGTTTAGGAAAATTATTGAATGATTATGGGACATGTAATTATGAAACAGTGTTTCCTGAGTGCCTACAGGGTGACAGACCTTTATACTCATCAACATATATAAAAACCTTTTGAACCAGGTACCATAATCATTCAATTTAAAAAGATGAGGAAATTAAAGTAGAGAGATTAGTTGCTTATCCTAAATTGTGCAGGATTTAAACACAACACAGTGCCAATTTACACCAGTATACTATAAGCCCATTCAGCTGCAATGCTATTTCCATTGGAAGTGGGCATACCAGCTGCACAAACACTGCACCATCAAAGTCCACAAAGAATCTCAGAGTTCTTTTTTTGTTGTTATTGCTTTGCATGAAATTTGAGCAAATTGGGCCTGGCGCGATAGCATAGCGCAAAAGTCTTCTCCTTGAATGCTCTGGGATCCCATATGGACGCCAGTTCTATTCCCCGGCTGCTCCACTTTCCATCCTGCTCCCTGCTTGTGGCCTGGGAAAGCAGTGGAGGATGGCCCAATGCCTTGGGGCCCTGTACCCATGCAGGAGACCTGGAAGAGGCTCCTGACTTCAGATTGGCACAGCTCCAGCCATTGTGACCGCTTGGGGAGTGAATCACCGTATGAAAGATCTTTCTCTCTGTCTCTCCTCCTCTCTGTAAATCTGCCTTTCCAATAAAAATAATAAATAAATCTTTAAAAAAGAAAGTAAGAAATTTGGGCAAATTATAAATCTGTCCTCCATGGTTTGGGATAGTATCCTTAGTCAAAAAGAACTTGATAAACTGTGGTATTAGATAAAGAAACCTTGATTAAGCAAAGGTATTGATTAAGGTATTTTAGGAGGAAGATGGAGAAAAATTGAAGCTTAACATTAGCTCCTAATTAGTTAAAGTTTTACAGTCTAAAAGATGGAGCTGGTTCTAGCTCAGTGGTTCCTTCATCTACATATACAATCTAAAACATGGAAAACTTAACCCTAAATCGACTGGATAGCGCCTTTAAAGGCGGGACCTTGCAACTTCACTAGAACAAAACATCCTTGAGGTTATTAGCGAGGACATCTCTCAGCCCTGCTGTAAACTATCTTCTAAAGCAGAAATTCCAAAATTTCAATTCTAGACCATAAGCAATGAGTTAGAACAGTGAAACACATGTTACAAATGTAAATGTTTTCAGATAGGACCTTTCACCATTCCACTCATCTTTCTTTATTCTCTCTCTCTCTCTCTCTCTCCCTGGTATTATCTACCTCAATATATAAGGCATTTGAGCTCTCCAATCTTACAAAATAATGGTTTGTAGGAGGTGGACAGACTACAAAGGATTGGTGGTCCTTTGTTTTCACATTGGAATCAGCAGAGAAAAGGAAGCACAAACACTTCTAGGAAGCAAAACCTGAATTGCTCAGAAAGCCAAGTGGTAGGACCATACAATTTCACCATTGCCAACTTCTTTACACACATGTAAATGAAGACATTCTGCAGGATAAAGGTTGACTGAGCATGGAGAGAGTGAAGCAGAAAACTTAAGATTTGTTCATAATAGGCACAAGTGCCCTACCTGAAAATGTACTTTAAAAATGGCTAATTGTGTACTTTTTAATTTGTAGGGTTTGATGGTTTTAATTGTGCTGTTAGGAAAATAAATTATTTTAGGCCTTGTGTGATAGCATAGTGGTTAAAGTCCTTGAATGCACCTTGAACGTACTGGGATACTAAATGGGCACCAGTTCTAATCCCGGCAGCCCTGCTTCCTATCTGTTTCCCTGCTTGTGTCCTGGGAGAGCAGTCAAAGGTGGCCCTAAGCTTTGGGGCCCTGCATCCATGTGGGAGACCCGGAAAAAAGCTCCTGTCTTTGGATTGGCTCAGCTGCAGCCATTGCAGTCGCTTGGGGAGTGAACCATCAGATGGAAGATCTTCCTCTCTGTCTCTACTCCTTTCTGTATATCTGCCTTTCCAATAAAAATAAGTAAATTTTAGTAAGTAAGTAAATAAATAAATAAATAATTTTAAATAGGCTGGAATATGTCATGTGAAAATCTGAAGGTATTAAAATATAATAAATGATCATGATTAACTAAGTTGACAAGTAGTTTTTCATTGAAGTGGCTACCTATCAAAAATAGTGTTGGTGTTCATTGCTTTTGTTAACTGTTATTGAAACCTGGGAAATTACAACTATTGTGCAATACCATTTGGTTCAAAACTGTGTTTTGAATTTTATGATAAAGATTGGCAAAAATTGTGACATATTATTTAAAACATGTAGTTAAGATAATTATAGATTTAATGGATAGGATTTTTCTTTTCTACAATGAGATAAGTGGAATTGTAAAATCTGGCTTGTTGAAGGGCAACACGGAGCCTTGGACATTGTAAGACCCTGTAAAGAATGCATGTATAAATTTATCCTGGTGGACTTTGTTTTATGCTTTCTGGGCCTGAATCTGGACATCTGTTTCTTAACTCTTCTCTCATCCTCTTTCTATCATATACATCAGTGCCTTTGCTTGGATAAGTATTTAAAACAAGTGATTATTTTCAGTTAAATCAGGTATTATATGTTTGTTCTAGCCTTTGCCAATTTTCTTTTTTAGTGTATTTTACTTATTTTAATTTTATTTGAAAGACAAGGACATGGACAGATTTGCATTTGCTGGTTCACTCCCCAAAAACTTTTGTTAGTATAAACAATAAAAACTTTTTTTTTATTATCAGAGGTGCCAGGCTGAATCCAGAATCCACAGGCCCCATATCTCCTTTAAAAAGGTGTATTTTCCTAATTCTTGAGACTCTTGTGAGTGTTCAGGAAAGTGATAGAATTATAGTTCCTTGGAATCATCTAAATTAAAGTAACCAAATGATTTTTTAAAAAGATTTACTTATTTTTATTGGAAAGACTGATATACCGAGAGAAGGAGATACAGAGAGAAAGATCTTCTGTCCAATGGTTCATTCCCCAAGTAGCCGCAATGGACAGAGCTGAGCCAATCCGAAGCCAGGAGCTTCTTCTGTGTCTCCTATGTAGGTGCAGGGTCCCAAAGCTTTGGACCGTCCTCTACTGCTTTCCCAGGCCACAGGCAGGGAGCTGGATGGGAAGTGGAGCAGCTGGGATAGGAACTGGTCTTATATGGGATTCTTGCGCATGCAAGGTGAGGACCTTAGCCACTATGCTATTGTGCCGGACCCCACCAAATGATTTTTTTTTTTTTTACATTGTAGAGGGAAAAGAGGTGAAATATTTAGAATAAATACAGTCAACATATGGAGAGTAATTTTATAGGAAATAGATTCAGTCACATAGGTAATATTGATCATAGTGACAATGATATGATCTGGTTGGTCTTGGAAAAATAATTTTCTCTTTAGGCTAGCATTTTATAGTCGTTCAAATAATCCCATCAGACTTTTCTGCCATAATGGAAGTGCTCTATAATCTGCACTATTAAATATGGCATACACTAGCCATGTATGATCACTGAGCATTTGAGATTTGTGTAGTACAGCTAAGGAACTGGATTTTTGCTAGTTTTAATTGACCTAAGGTCAAGTTTATATAGCAACATGTGCTAGTAACTACTGTATTGAAAAGTATATTTCTGTGCTATTATTATAACTGTCTTTGAAAAAATTTTAGTTTACTTCTTTATTTACACACATATTTCCTTTCATTTAGTTAATTCTGCAAATGTTCTTTTATTATAGACACTGAGAATATAACACATATAACCTATATGGTCTTGTGAAATAGTTCGATCAAATAATCAAACAGCTGGTAGGAATTAGGAGAGCTGAAGGTTGTAAGATTCTCCCATGTGACTGATTTCTTTGAGGAAATCCAGGCTTTACAACCTCTTTAAAGTCCCCTGTTTCCCCCAAGGAAATGACCTCTGACCTGGGATCTAAAAGATGTTTGGCCTTCTAAAAGGGATGGATTTTATCAGTTGACACTACAGAGATCAAACAAGGGTGGTAGAAACAAATTTAGATAATTATCGTACTGACTACATGCGTAAACAGCATCACTGTTTTTCTTTAAAAAAGAAGAAGAAGAATATTAGGAGCCTGGTGGCTTAGAAGCATTAAAGCTGTCAAAACTAAAAGTAGAGCAGTTGATCACAGTGTATCCAGGGAGTTTCCAAGTCATTTTGACTCAGTGTTATAACACAGGATCTCCCTAGGAGCTTCTCTCTCTGAAATTGAAATAAGGCTAGAAAACACACATGTACACACATACTTGTATACACATGCACCTGGGTGTCATTAAGAGGTAAGA